AGGTTGGTTTTGAGCTTAGCCATGCACGTAGTGATATTTATATAAGTTCCAACCATTTATGCTCGATCTAAAATACTTGTTCCATCACCTAGTCTTTTAATTAGGTTCAAACGCTTGAAGAGATGATTTACCACATCATGATATTATCAAGCGTCTAGTCCAAGGTCTACGAAAATGTACGGACCTCCGATCCGAATTTCGAAATTATCAAAAATAGTTAAATACTTGTCCCATAACTCTTAAGTATGTTCTTTTTCACCATACTCCCAATCGCCAATTCTCTAATTTTGCGATCAATTTTGTTTAATAATTCTCAGGCATGTGCATCTAAGACTTATGCAAATAGGAAAAGTGTGGATCGTGTGTCTAATTGACTGAAAGCAGATTTGAGTACTGGATTTATCATTTACCAACCAAATCAACCAAGAAATTCATCTTAAAACCTTTAAAACACACATATTGAAAATGACAAAGTCGTTGGGTCCATTAAAAATGAAAAGTAAGACAAAGCAAACAATTTGTGAGGTTTGACTTAAAACAACCCACCATAATGGAAAAAAAGAAGGGTTGTTGTTAATTTGTTATTATTTATTTATAGATCTAAAAGCGGCGACCCGAAAGCGACTGATACATTTTTTTTCTAACAACGCTTTATCCTTGTGATGTTGACAATTTATGAACCATTCTTGACGGTTCACATTGATTTACGATTACTATTTAAAACCCAAATTGTTGATTAGAATAATATTATATGTTACATGGCCATGAGTCACCTCAGAATTTAGATAAAAATCCATTTTTCATTTCTTTTGGATTTCTTCGACATCTTAAACGAACGAAAGATGTACAACTAATTTTTTATGTTCGGACAATAGATAAATCCAACTTGAATTTCTTAAATCAATGTAATGAATGACCAGTTCCCTATTCAAGTTTTTTTTTTGTTTGCAAGATTTTTCCATTGCCTGTAGTTTCTATTGCAAATTTAGTTTTTAACAGACCACAATCCTTCCTTTTTTTAACTGCGAATTTTGTTTTGTCGACTACTGCGAAAATTTCTGAAAATTACTAACAAATCCTAATAAATTTCAGTGACATATACAACCAAATAAAATTTTATATAAGTTATTCATATTCATCACCGTATTATTGTATAATGGGGGTGTATATATACATCCATCTAAGACGCGTAACATCACATTATCTTCACGACTAAAGAGCATTACTCAAATAACTTACAAGGCTCCAACCACCTCTTTCGAACTCCATTCTTATTTGGCGGTAGCCGGTTTGGTTGGCTATTATATGTTTTGAAAATCTCACGATTGTCCATAGATATCATCACGAGTTATTCTTTTTCTTTCTCAGGCTCCTTATCTAGTCAATTTATACCATAATATATCATATCTCCTAACAGTATCATAGGTTAATCATGCTTAGTTTAGACGTTATGTTGGAAAAGTTACAAAAAGACAAAATTCGTCTTAGTGACATATATATCATCAAATAAATTCTCTTAAACTTATTGATATACACCAATATTTAAAATTTGCGTTTGTACAAAACAGAGAAGAAAAACAAACTACAGTATATACTTTTAAGATTGATAGGTTCATGTCATTCCAAAACCTAAATGATTAAATAAAACTAAAATTAAATTATTATCTTAAATATTCGATATCCTATTATCTTAAATTATTTTTAAATGAATGTTAAATTTTTATTCAAACAAAAAAAACAAAAAAATAGTTTGTATACATCAAAGTGCGAGTATTTTTGTTAAAAACAGAGGAAAAATGGCTTTTTACAACCTAAACTATAAAAATATGTTAAATTTATACTCGGCTTTGTATATAGTGCCTAAACATTCTTCAACTTCTTAATTTATAAAATTTCATACCTAAACTAATTTTTTTGTGCTTAAACCTATATTGTCTAAACGCTGTTAAAGGTCCGTTAAATCAAGTCTAGGTGGTATCTTAGTAAGCAACGACGTCATTTGTAGTTTTTGATTTCTTAAAAAAAAAAAATCTACACGAAAGTTTAAAAACAATGACGTTTTAATTCTAGGCCAGAAAAAAAAACATTTTAACTGTCGGCTATTTTTGTTCTCCAGACACTGAAAAAAACATTTTTACACCGGAAGAGAGCTCAAATCTCTCCAGTTGCTCTCCAGTCACCTCTTTAGCACAAGAAAACAATATTATTTGCTGCTTCTGTCGATTCCTGCTCCAATTTGCTTTTTTCAGCCGATAACAACGCTTCCTAGCAGTTCTACCAGCATCGAGAAAAGCCCAAAGCCGATGACGAATCCAATTGAAGAGGTAGAAGTTTATGGACCTGTTAAATTTGCGAAGGAGACTATTGCTGAACCAAAATGTCGGAGGATTACGAGATCATACTCTAAGCTAAACAAGAAGAGGGAGGGAGAGGGGATCAAAGTTAGCGAATCGTCCTTCGCACGATCTGACGTGACCTTTGCCGAGCATGTCTCTAACAGCCGGATTTGAATTTCGCATCGGAGAATAAAGAGAGCGATGCGATTTTGATAGGGAAGACTAGCTACTGATAGGCAGCTTTATAAAAGTCACAGTTTTGACGCGATTCTTATTGTCCCAATAGGAAAATCAATGATTATTGCACAACGCAAACTCAATTAAGAATGCAATTCAATCAAATTTGAGAATTTGGAGGAAGTAGAAATTGGGAATTGCAAAGCCAAATTCCAGAAAACCCATATTAGGAATTGAGAAGTCGGATCTGTAATAGTTATCGACGTTGATTTAGGGGAGTTAAGAAGAAAAAAGGAATTTCTATTTTTCTAAACCACTGTGCTTTAGACGTAAGTGATGCCTAATAGCATATGATCCACTGTGCTTTGGCCTCTGTTTTTCAATCGCAGGTGGAGTTAACTCGGTTTTGTTTCGATGATGGGGATGGTTCGAAGAAAGACCGATTTGCCTAGATTTATTCCTTTTTCTTTTCTTTTTTCTTTAAACAATTTTCCTAAACCAACGACGTCGTTTTTTTTTGTTTTCTTCTCAAACTATAAAGAAGCCCAAAACACATCGTCGACACGTAGACTACACTTGACAGAATATTTAACAGTGATTGCCTTATAATTGTTTTACGCACAAAAAAAAAGTTTAAGGACGAAATTCAAATTAAAAAGAAGATTAAGAATGAATTTCAAATATTAATATAGATTAAGTATGATATAGCACCATATATAAGTTTAGGTATACATTTAACATTTTCTAAAAGTTTAGATCTGAAAAAGCCAATTTTCCTAAAAACAGATAAGATACATCCTTTAAAACATGCTTTCCCGTAGCTTGCAGAGCGAGCTGCAAACCAGTTTTGCAAATCCTTCCTCGTACCGATTGTCTCCCAGAATTCTGATTGAACTGAATCGATTTCGAATACCTTTGTCTATACTTTGCATTTGTGTGTTTCTTTTATTTTATCTTTTTGAAAATGGATTTCCTTCTCATGATCATTTGTTTGGTCTCCAAAACATTGACACTATGTTCTACATGGAAACATGAGCCATTTAGAAGAAATGAACATAGCCTTCTAAAACCGCTTGGCTTCTTATATTTAGCCTTTAGTTTCGTTGATATACTAACAACCTCATGAGAAGGAGGCACTGTGTCTTTCGCGGGCTGTGTCTCGGTTTCATTTGCAGGAGCCTCAAGTTTACTACTAGGCGGTGGCTTAAAGTTAATATCGTTATACTCGACTCCGTAGTCCATTAATGGATCCTCTTCGCGAAAATTGTCATGAGTACTCCAATTTTAATGTTCCCACATAATTATACCATCTCTGTATCTATAAGAAATGATATTTACACCTGAAACCGAATACATGAATCAAGAAAAAAAAACTAAAACGTTTGTCCAAAATGTGATGAATTAGAGAAAAATTGTAAATTCAACGCAATATCAACTTTGCTATGTAAATACATCAATGCAGCATCAACTTCGCCACATAAATTCATAAACATCCATTTTGGTACCAAATCAATATTGGAGACGGCTAAACCTATATCATTTTCTTTAATTAACTTCAATGTCAAGAAATATTTTAGTCAGCATCTTTTGCCAACCTTGGAGTCCAGTTTGCACTAGCAAAACACATGTGTGTTCAAAAATTACGGATACTACTAGAGAATTAGGATCAAGAAAATTAATTATAGATAATCTCTAAAGAAATAAGACTAAAAAACAAAAACATAATTTTTTTACTAATTGGTAAGCTTGCATATATTTACTAACAAAAACATATATGGGTTTCAAGAGCTGTTTTTATTTGTTTGGCCCTAAAAGCACAACTTAAATAATCCATCGAAACAAATGAGATTATACTACTCTAGTTTATGTATATTAGATCTGTAATCCGCGCGTTGCACGGAATTTCATTTTTAAATAGTTAATTTATTATATTGTTTTTTATAGTTCTTGATTTTATTAGAAAGAAGACCAAAAATATAAATAACATATTTCTCTTTTTCTTCATCTTCCTCTTCATCTTCGATCTCTATTTCTTCATTTTATTTTTCTTTTTACTGTCAACAGTCTAAATACCTAAAACAATTCAACTTTTAAAAAAAAAATTTTCGTATTCTTTTCGTCTTTTTCTGATTTTTTTCGTCTCTTATTTTTACCTAGCTCGTGTATGTATTTTTTTTCTTTTATTTTGTCTTCATCTACGTGTTTTTTCTTTATATTTTGATTTTTTTTTCTTCTTCCTCTTATTATTCTTATTCTTTTTCATCGTGATTTTTTATTTTCATCACGTTTTTCTTTTTAACTATGTCTTTTTTATTATTTTTCCCAATTTTTACTCTTCTTCTTCTTAATAAAAAGTAATAATTATAAACAATATGAGTAACAAAAGAAGAAAAAATTGATTAAGAAAAACCCTAGGCGGCGATTTTGCTCTCAAAACTTTCCTTATTTCGTCCTCCTCAAGAAACTCCGATCCTGGCCGCCTCGGCCATGGTATCTGACCCGCCGGCGTCTGGTTCGGCTCTTCCTCCCAGCATCACATCCACTCCCTCCCAGAAATCTCCATGGTTTGCAACTTCGACGAACAGCCCTGCCCGAAACTCTGTGTCATGCGAAGTCGTTAATGGCATCGCAAAAACTACAATCCCAGCGGATATTCTCAGCAATGCTCAGCCTCTCTGGACTATCTACATCATTGGTTACTTCATTGGGGATGCCCCTCACATTAGCAAGGTTCACACCACGGTGAATCGTCTCTGGTCAAATCAGGAAAAACTATCGAAGATTGATGCACAATATTAATTCATCAACTCGAAAATGGTTCTCTTTCGGATCGACAACGCCCAGATCAGGGAGAGAGTTCTCAAACGTCATTTCTGGCACATCTCGGACATTCCCCTGGTGGTGCAAGAGTGGAATCCCAGAACGTCTTCCCACAAACCGAATCTCTCTGCCTATTTGGGTCGATCTTCTCAAAGTGCTAGATTCCTTATATTCGGAGAAAGGTTTAATGTTTCTCGGAAATCTGATTGGGGACACGAAGAAGCTTCATCCTGATATGGAGCGATGTGTTCGACTAGATGTGGCTCGTCTCTTGGTGGTAGTCAATTTGGAAATACCCCTCCCTGAAAAAATTTACTTGAAATCAGAATCAGAAATCATCATCCCCATTAGCTATCCTTAGCTTCCTCTTCGCTGCTATCGATGCCTGAGTTGGGGCCATTTGGAGAAGGAATGCTCGCAGCTTCAGAAAGGAGCATCGATCTGAGCTGAAGTTCGCAACTCTTATAACCGTGAAAGCCCTCTTATAAACTCCCAATGCGTGCGAAATGTGCAGTCGGACCTACGGGGAGATGATCACATTGTTACTACACCGGAAACAACTGAGAGAGTGGAAATTCAAGAGGATCTCACTCTTTCGGAAACCGAAAATTTTGTGGTATCAGTCAAAGATCAGGAAAACAGTGGAACAATTACAAGCGAGACAGATATTCCTTGGAAAGAAGTGTCTAAAACATCTCGACGTTCTTCTGCCAAACAGAGATAATCTTCAAAAAGCCCTGAAACCTCCCCGTCGAAATTTAATATCCTGGCGAATTTATCTCTGAGGACGAGGATGACGTGGAAGAGGGTGAGATTCTGGGACAGACGGGGGAACCCCATGTAGTTACAGAGTCCTCAGAAAAGGTGGAGATGGAGCAGGTGGCACAGAGAGATTTGGCTCCTGCGGGTGGACGCAATCGTACGAAACAAAAGTCTAATAAAAAACCGATTGTCACAACAAAAGACCGACTTCTTTCCAGCAAAAACAAAACAAAAAATCTTCCGAAAGGAAGCATTGATGATCATGTCGTCTTTTTTGCGTGGAATACTCGTGGTTTTAACAAACTGCGCAAACACAATGTTGTTCGGTCTTGGGTTCAGACTGTTCGTCCGGCTTTTGGTTGTCTTCTAGAAACACGAGTTCAAGAAACCAACTATCCTAACATTCTTGACACTGTTTTTACGAGGTGGAGTTCCACCACAAACTATGACTTACACCGTCTTGGTCGCATCTGGGTTATCTGGTCTGATGTTGTTTCTATCTCTCCGCTATATAAGAGTCCGCAAGTCATCACAATTGAGGTCACTTATGCATCAGGTCTTTCGTTTGTTTGCTCTTGTGTCTATGCCTCGAATTTCAGTAATGATCTAAGGGTCTGGCAGGAGCTTCGTGGTACTAATGAGTTTTTACGAGGGACAAATACCCCTTGGATCATTATGGGGGACTTTAACCAAACTTTATCTTCTGATGAGCATTCTAGAGCAGCTGACTATTTTGGAGATCAGTCGGCTATGAGAGACTTCCAACAATTTGTTACTGATTGTGAAGTTATGGATCTCGGATACGTGGGCTCTCATCAGTTTACTTGGTTGAATCAGCAAGAGGAGAACTGTAACACCCGTGTTCGTGAAAACCTTACTAAGTTGGAAAATTTGGTTAAGGGAAGTATGGAAAATGTAAGGTGAAACGGGGTTCAGTCGGGTGATTCCGAGCTAAGTCCAGCTTTTGCCGAGCTAAATCAAGTTTTGTCGAGCTGAGTCAAGTTTTGCCGAGCTGAAATCAGCTGGCCGCGATTTTTGGGAAGTTTAGCTGGGAAATTCCGACAAACCGAGTTTTTCGGGACTTTGTCGGAATTCGGACAAGGTTGGTCCGGAACAGACAGTTTTGTCGAGAACGGGTGCGCGCAGGAGCGGTTATCAGGTGAAAACGCGATAAGGCATAGGTGCGGGAACGGTTATGGATTTTAGCTGAGCTGGCGATAGCGCCGAACAGTTATTAGTCGTGCGAAAACACGCGGAATCTCAGCGGATCGTGGGAAAGTGCGGATTGATGCGGGAACGGTTTTTGGGTGGTTTTCTGCGGAAAATCGTGTGTGCGCGCATATAATAAAGGCTTCCGGATTATTTCTCTTCTTCGCGCGACCAAAGAACACAGAAAGATTGAGAGAAATTTTTTTAAGAGAAGTTAGCCGAGAGAAAGTCTGTTTAGCCGAGAGCGATTGGATTCTGGTCGAGAGCGAGTGCAATTCTGTCGAGCGTGGTCCGGATTCTGCCGAGCGATTGTGGGAACGAGCCTGATCGATCGCAATTTCTGTCTTTACCGAATCTGTCCGATAAAAGCTAAGGTGAGTGCGTGACCGTGGCCTTGTTGGTCGTATTCTTGCTTAGACAAGAACCCCATTGGAAAGAAACTTGATAGAGCTCTAGTTAACAGCGCTTGGTGCTCTATATTTCCTCAGTCTTTTTCCGCTTTTGAGACAAATGGCATCTCTGATCATGCGCGCTGTGTGATCCGGTTGGAAAACAATGTTACCGACAAGTGACACCACTTCCAGTTCTTTAATTTTTTGACTGCTCACCCTTAGTTTTTGGAGACCGTGAATCAGGTCTGGAGAGAAACTCCTCCCTTGTTTCACTCTCGATCTGCCCTTCACTGTTTTCACAGGAAATTGAAGTCTTTGAAAGTTCATCTCCGCGAACTTAATCTTAGCAGATATGGGGATATTACGAGAAGGACTAGCAAAGCATTTGACAATATTTGCGAGAAGCAGCAGCAGACTCTTCATAACCCTTCTTCAGAGAACATTGCTGCAGCTGATGCAGCTTCTTCGCTTTGGCACCACTATTCTGCAATTGAAGAGCGCTTCTTTCAGCAGAAATCTAGAATCACTTGGCTGAAAAATGGAGATTCAAACACTAAGTTTTTTCACCGTGTGGCTCAAGGGCGTCGGTCCAAAAATTCTATAAACAAGCTTTTAAATGCAAATGGGAATACCCTTACTGATATGAAGGACATTAAAGAGGAAGCAGTGCGGTATTTCTAGACCTTTCTACAGTCCTCGACTGTGAATCTTTCTGCATTTGGTTCTTCTGACTACGAAGCTCTTATTCTGTATCGATGTTCTCCTGAGCAAGCACATCTATTTACTCTCTCGGTCCTTGAGCAGGAAATCAGGTCAGATCTCCACTCAATACCTTCTAACAAGACTCCGGGTTCTGATGGTTTCACTGCAGTGTTCTACATAGCTGCCTGGCCGATTATTTCTGCTGACTTTGTGGTTGCGGTTCAGTCATATTTTCTGTACGGATTCATGCCGCATGGTGTCAATGCTACCATGCTCTGCTTAGCCCCGAAAACGATTGATGCTCAAACCATGTGTGATTATAGGCCTATTGCTTGCTGCAATCTGATATATAAGGTCATTTCAAAGATTATTGCTAATAGGCTCAAGCAGATTCTGCCGGAAGGTATGGTTTCGAATCAGAGTGCTTTCATTAAAGGTCGTTTGCTGCTTGAAAACGTCCTCCTGGCAACGGAACTAACCAAGGACTATCATAAAGACTCTATTTCGGCTTGATGCGCGCTGAAGCTCGATATTGCCAAAGCATTCGATACGGTGAGGTGGGAGTTTATTATTCATGTCCTCAGGGCCATGGGGATCCCAGATATCTTTCTTATGTGGATTGAAAACTGTATTTCGTCGGCTGCTTTTTCTGTTCTTGCTAACGGTGACCTGGAGGGGTTCTTTACTAGTTTGCAAGGGCTGAGGCAAGGATGTTCCCTCTAGCCATACATGTTTGTCATTGCGATCAACGTTCTCTTTCTGATGCTCAATGAGGCGGCTAGGGAAGGGAAAATAGGTTATCATCCTCAGTGCAAAGAGCTCCAGGTTACCCACTTGAGTTTCGCTGATGATATATTGGTATTTATGGATGGTACTGCAAATTCTCTCAGGGGTACGATGGAGGTTTTAAATAGATTTTCAAGGGAATCTGGGCTTGCGATCAACGTTACCAAGTCCTCTCTGTTCGTGGCAGGGCGAACGAACTCTGCATTGACTCAAACAGCTTCAGATTTGGGTTTGCCCCTGCAATAGCTCCCAATCCGATATTTAGGCCTTCCATTGACTACGAAGAGCTTGACAAAATTGGACTATAAACCTCTGATAGATAAGATCAGAAAGCGCATGATTACATGGTCTAGTGCCACTCTGTCCTCTGCAGGTTGCCTCCAATTAATCCAATCTGTCATCACTAGCATCGTGAACTTCTGGCGTTCTGCTTTTAGACTCCCGCAGAGATGCCTAGACATCATAGAAAGCATGTGCGCTGCGTTTTTATGGTCTGGGTCTCCTCACATCACTACTAAAGCTAAGATCAGGTGGGACGACATCTGTAAACCTAAGTCGGAGGGAGGTTTGGGTATTCGCAGATTAAAGGACACATCTCAAGTTTTCTCTTTGAAGTTAATATGGAAGCTCTTCGCTGACACTTCCTTGCTGTGGGTGGCATGGACACGGCATTATCTTCTTCGTTACTCGTCCTTTTGGGATGTATCGGTGGGTAACAGGGGATCTTGGATGTGGAGGAAACTTCTCAAGCTTCGCCCTATCGCTGCCCTTTTTCTCCGTCATCAAATTGGTAATGGAGTCTCCACCTTTTTCTGGTTTGATGATTGGCTAAGAATGGGGAGAATTATTGATATTAAAGGGGATTCGGGCACTCGTATCTTGGGCATTGCTCGCCAGGCCTCTGTTGCTGATGCGGCAAGACATGGTCACTGGTCTATTAGGCGATGCCGAGGAAATCATATCCAGTCTCTTCTTGATCGCATTCGCTCTTCACCAGCCCCGGATGTCACGGCGGGAGAAGATATGGTGCTTTGGCGCCATGGAAATGATGACTATAGGAGAAATTTCTCGACACGAGTCACATGGGAGCAACTGCGGACCAACTGTGAGGTGGAGCAGGGTGGTCTGGTTCCCTCAAGCTATTCCTCGGCAAGCTTTCATCTTATTGCTTGCAATCCGTGATCGTCTGGCCACAGGAAATCGTACTGCAGAGTGGGGACATTCTCAGCCTTGTCTCTTATGTGGCGAACCCATTGAGACAAGAGACCATTTGTTCTTTGCGTGCCCATACTCTTTTACCATCTGGAATTGGCTTACAGCTGGTCTCCTCCAAAGTCGGGCAAACCCGGACTGGACGATAATGCTGCGTTCCATCTCGAAACCTTTGAGGAATAGGGGATGACTGGATTTTAGCTCGGCTCCTGTTTCAGGCTACGGTTTATAGTATTTGGAGAGAGCGGAATGGTCGTCGTCATCAACGGCCTCCTCGTTCTGCTCTTACTCTCACACATACTATAGACAAGGACATCTTCTTACGAATTCAATCTCTCAGCTCAGCTTCGGATGATGACTCCTCTGCTCTTCTGGCTCGCTGGAACAGCCTTCGACGTCCTCCCCTGTTTTGATCTAATTTCTTAACCTACTCTGTTGCTTGGCAAACTTTTTGTACATATCTTGATTATTACTTAATAAATATCACATTTTAGCAACAAAAAATAATATTATAAACAATGTGTGAATTAATTAAGTCATTAACTTTAGTGTTAGTGTTTTTTTTATATTATTAAATGAAAATAATACTATTTTAAAATATGTAAATTAATTAATTTATTAATTTCAGTTTTGTTTTTGTATGCTGATGTGGACACTTTAGATGAAGAGAAAACTCTCCTATTATATAATAGATTCCATTACCGATATCTACTTTTTTTTTGTATTTAGTTCTTGATAACCACGTCTTAACACATTTGGAATATATACAACAACACATTTGGAATATATACAACACAGCCATTTTTTCCGCTTGGTTACCACGTCTTCTACATTTCTTTTGTTTTTTTGGTTGTATATTCCTCTCGATGCTTCTTGCTGTAGGAGCAGAAAATTAATAGCACTACGTAAGTGTGATTAAAGAACAGCATAAACGATTAGACGTTAAGGTAAGAAATATTGAGTGAAGGCGAGATAATAAATCTCTTTCGTAATTCTTTGAATCACCCGCAGTACGACGGGATTATCTGATTCAAGAGCCGCAGGATATAGTCATTTAAATCCGGTTTTCAACACAAAGAAAAACATGGATTCTAAATGAACTTCATTTCTATGATACTCTCGGTAGAAGACTTACGAAAAATAAAAAAAGAGAGGGAGAGAGACTGTTGCAAAAATTTCTGAAAAGAAAATGAGAGGTGTCGGTCTGAAAAATGAGAGGAGAAGTCGTGTATATATAGCGGAGAAAGAGACTTGAGGAGTCTTCAAAATCTCAAAAAATCCGCGAGTCAAACACGAATTTCGGCCATAAATTTAGCGTAGTCAAAGACGAAAAGTCAACAATCTGTGATTAATCAAAAACATATGCAGAAAATCAACGTAAAAAATTTAAACGCTCAAAATATCAACCAACACGACCAAACGCTCAAAATATCAACCAACACGACTAACACGGCTCGGCGGCACGAATCTCGGAGGAGAAGTTGTGTATATATAGCGGAGGAAGAGATTTGAGGAGTCTTCAAAATCCCAAAAAAATCCGCCAACACGAATCTCAGCCATAAATTTAGACCAACACGGCTTGGCGGCAGCACGCGCATAGGGCTTCCTCTTTTTCCTCTCACATGTTATTCAAACATGTATGAAACAACTCTTAATATATACTAGAACTTTTTACCCTTAATGGTCGATGTGGGACAAATCTCATTTCCTCTTTACCATTTCCTTTTCACCCTTAGGCTTAAAAATTTCGGCCCAACACTAGCTTCATATGCAGACATCTTTTACTTCCATCATACGCTACTCTTCTTCCGCCGTGCTAGCCTCCGTCCTCCGTCGCACAACGATCTATCACGGCAGATGCAGAGCTCGAGTTGGAATCCACCACAGCTTTTATTTCCTCTCAGAGAGACGAGTGAATTCTACAAGCCGAGTAAGAATATTCTCAGAGCTTTCTTTGCGCCGGTTCTCTCGTTGGACGACAAGCCTTTACTAGAGAATCCTAGTGAGGCCATCGGTACCATCCTCACCGCTCAAGCGTCATTGTCCGGGAAGTAGCTGTTCACAAAGATGGAGATTAACGTTCATCTAAGATCAGATGTGAGCTGATTTGCATGGTGAGAGCTATGCTGAAGAAGGTACAGAGAAGAGTTCTTGTTGGGGATAAGGTTCTTGTCGGATCTATCGATTGGATTGATCGGAGAGGAATGCTAATGAATGTGTTTCACCGGCGCACGGAGAATCTTGATCCACCGGTGGCGAATGTTGATCACTTGCTTGTTCTTTTCTCTCTGGATCTACCAAAACTGGAGCCAAACACACTCACCAGGTTCTTGGTGGAAGCTGAATCCACTGGAATTTCACTCACACTTGCCCTGAACAAATTTGAACTCATCACTCAAGAGGTAAATCTTGATTAGAGCCCATGAATGATCTTGTTTCCAAGAACTGGAATCTTGATAAGAACAATGATCTTGTTTTCTAGGAACTAGAATCTTGGAAGATAAGATTGCGTGGATGGAACTATGAACCGTTGTTTTGCAGTGTGAAAAATAAACTCAGACTTGATGAGATTGCATTCATGCTGAGAAACCAGACTTCTGTGATAGTTGGTCCTAGTGGTGTTGGAAAGTCGAGCTTAATCAACTATTTGAGAAGTAGATTTGGTGGTGACAAAATAGGGTTTAAACCTGTAACATTTTTGTGCTATTTTCTTTCATTCTACAGCTAATATTTTTCTTCTTTCTAACAACTATCATCATGACTTGACAGATTCAGATATTAGGTAAGAAGAAGAAGAAACGGTGGTTTGAAGATCAGAGTGTAGGAGAGATTTCAAAAAAAGGTCGTAGAGGTAAACATGAAACCCGAAATGTATCGCTACTGCCAGTTTCTGGAGGTGGATACCTTGCTGATACTCCTGGCTTTAACAAGCATAAGTTGCTGAAATTAAAAGAGCAATCACTTCACTTTTGTTTTCCTGAGGTTTGTACCCGCTTTTTTTTTTTTTTCTTGTTTCCCATTTCGCCATATGGACTGATTGCGAGAATAATGCGTTTCTTAACTCTTTCCTTTAGATACGGAAAATGATTGAGGGCAAAAAATGTGAATTCAAAGATTGCTTGCATATTGGGGAACCAGGATGTGCTGTGAAAGAATGTGGTTGGGAAAGGTATCCTTACTACTTACAACTTCTTGAAGAGATCAGAATTGAGGAGAAGTCTCGACTTAAGAAGTATGGAACCAAAACAGAAGGTGATGTTAGGTAATTATGCTGTACTCTACTGAAACAACAGCTTTTATTTATGCGATTGGTCACAAGAAGGGAAGCCTTGACACAGGTACAAGGTGGGAGAAATGGGTGTGAAACAAGTTGTACCACGGCTAGACCCTAAGAAGTATAAGAGAGAGTCGCAGAAGAAGATGAAACAGAAATGGATCTCTGAGCTTGAAGATTAAGACAATATCACGGACTAAAGTGAACAATTACCCAATTGTCTCCGAGCTTATTGAGAATGATAACAAGAGACGGTAAGTGATTCACCAAGATAAACGTTAAACTATATAATATGTAACAGATTGTACCGATGTTAATTTAGCAGAATTATTAAGGATTAATTGGTTTTATTAGTTTTTTTGATAAATTTTTGTTTAAGCACTCCACTAACTTTTTTTCAATTTTTCATTTCCAATGAGATGAGAGGTGCTTGAATTAAAAGAGAAAGAAAGAGTCTGAAATAAAAATGAATTGAAGAAGAAGAGAGAGAGATTTCAACTGATGGAAAAAATAAAAATAAAAAAATAAATTAAATGTCTCAACCAATGAGATAAAGCCACATATAGAGTGCTTAAGGGTGCTTAAAATGCTTATATAAGCATCGATGCTAAAGGTTTTCCCATTAAAAAATTATTTTTAATCTAACTTTTTCATTAGCAACCTTTAGGCACTCCTTGTTGGAGATACTCTAAGACCACCTCAAATGCGGTATATATCGAGTTCATTCGTGGGGTCCAACATAATTTTTTGGATTTGTTTTAATCGTTTCGGCCCACATATTCGTTGATACTGTCTCTTTGGGATGAGCCCGACGAGCCCGTATCGTCAGGGTTCAATGGGGTACGTGTCACACTTGTATTGGCTGTTGGAGGGAGAGCATTTTTTTATTGTGGGAATCGATTTTTTTCTGGTTCTGTTTTATTTCTTTCTTGTTCCGAAAAAAAAATCCGAGTGTGACTTGCGACCACCGACGATCGAATCCAAGTTTCCGCCGCCGGTCGAATCGACGCCGAATCGTCGCTTCCCTTCCGATCGATTAGAAAAGTACATCATCTGTAACCTGTTAAAAACTACTAGATGTTGGGGAGAAGCGTGGATTCCTGGGAATGATAGGAAGCATCGACTGTATGCATTGAGAGTGGAAAAATTGCCCTACAGCTTGGAAAGGGCAATATACATGTGGGTCAGAAAAACCGACAATCGTCTTAGAGGCAGTAACATCGCATGATCTTTGGATTTGGCACGCGTTTTTCGGACCTCCAGGTACCTTAAACGACATTATTGTTCTTGAGCGTTCACCTGTTTTTGATGACATTTTACAAGGTCGTGCTCCAAGGGTTAAGTATTTTGTCAACGGAAACGAATACCGTTTGCCATACTACCCCGCAGACGGTATCTATCCGAAGTGGGCAACATTTATACAATCAATTCCACTTCTGCAAGAGCCAATAACCAACTTATTTGCTACATGTCAAGAATCCGTCCGAAAAGATGTCGAGCGTGCTTTTGGAGTCTTACAGGCTCGGTTTGCAATTATTAAAAACCCAGCTCTTATTTGGGATAAGAGAAAAATCGAGAACATTATGCGGACATGCATCATATTACATAATATGATTGTAGAAAACGAACGACATGTGTATAATCTCGCTGATACAACAGAATTCGAACAAGGCAACTTTAACAGATGTTCACAAGTAGTGGATATGACATACTCTACCGATATGCCTATAAATATCAGAAATATGATCGACATTCGCAATGAAGTTCGCCATAGAAACACACATGATCAATTGGAAGCTGATTTATTTGAGCATATTTGGCAAACATTTGGGAATCCACAAGATTACAATTAGTTGTTTCAAGTATGTTTTATTTCTGTTTCTTTTTCATATGTTTTAAATTATATGTAATAAATAAATTATTTGCTTTTATAATAAATGAAGGTTTATAATTGTTTCAAAAAAAAAAAATTTCTCGGATAAATCTCAAAAATGGGGTTCAAGGTTGGATACTTCTTTTTAGCTCGGGTTCATCCAAATTTTTTCTCACCAAAAACATTATTAAAAAACTCTGATGAATCCCAACATGGATATCAGGGTTGGACATGGTCTAACTACAAACCATGATCAGTGATTTTGTAATGATTCGATCAAAAGAAATAAAATAGCTGCCAAGTTCATCAATGAATTTGACTTTTCTGAGAAACGGATAGAGTGAGTTCAAGAAGCAAAAATTTAGCAAGAAAAATAAATTAAGAAGCAAGAGTGTTAGAGACTTTCATCCTCTGTAACTAACAGAAAAAAGAGTTTTCATTGGGATTTATTAATTGTTACTTACGTAGGAAAAAGTTCCTGCATGCATTTTCAATTTAAGATCAGACGTTTATTACAAAACCATAAAAATAGAAAATTACATTTGGATAACACACACGTACATATGCTTCACATAGTTATGTCACAAACACTTAAAAGAGACTACAAGAGATATATAGTGTTCAATTCGAACTTCTGGCGACTATTTTGGGCTTGTTTCGATGGAACTTTTCCATGAACCATTCGTGTTTGTGTTGAAAAAAGATATGTCCAATCACCATTCCCAAGAACACACCAGGTACATAGGCTATCGCCACTGCTATCCAGTTAATCACGTGCTCTTTTGGCTCCGACAAATCGTCGGATTCTTGTGGTATATGATTCAGAACATGAGTTTCTCCACATATTTCTTCGAGACCATAGAGTCTAGGGTTGTCCATGAACGAAGAACAATTTTGTCTTTGAAACTGTGTGCCACGTGGTATCTGACCTTGGAGATTGTTGTGGGAGAAGTTCATGATTGATAAAAAAGAGAGGCTGCCAAGACCCAAAGGAATCTGACCAGACAGTTTATTCTGGGACAAGTCCAATGCTTCGAGCTTTGTCAAATTTCCCAATGATTGTGGAATATTGCTTGTGAATGCGTTACCAGACAAGTTGAGAACACGCAACTCCTTCAACAAACCAATAGATTCAGGGATACTTCCAAGTAATAAGTTCCCTGAAAAGTCAATGGCTCTAAAGTCCCTTCTGATCCGCTCAAACTCTGTATATACTCCTTTATGCACCATTTCCATCGAGTTATGATAGTCGATACCGTACCTCGGGTTTCCTAAGTTCTCATCATCGTAAGCTTGTTGCATGGATGTCGCCATGTTACGCCAATAAGAAAAATAGAAAGGTGGCAATGATCCGGTGAAGCCATTGTGTGATATGTCAATGACTCTTAAATTTTGAAACCCAACGGAGAGATTAGGGTGATATAACGGCCCATAAAATTGGTTTGACCGGAGGATGAGGACGTTCAAGGATGGCAAAGAACTCAACCAAAATGGAAACTCGTCCTTGATTATGTTGCCTTGCACATTCACAAGTTGCAAAAGACTACAACTCGTCAATGATTTTGGAAGTTTCCCCTCTAAGTTGTTGCGGCTAACGTCAAGTGCTTTAAGATTGGTGGCATTGACAAACATATCCGGAATAGTCCCAGTGAAGTTGTTATTAGCCATGATCAACTCTTCAAGTGAAACACTTAAGTTCCTTAAACACTGAGGAATTGAGCCACTAATTCTATTTTTGGACAAATCTAAGAAGCCTAACGATTTAAGATTACATATCCACTGGGGCAATGGTCCTTGTAATGAATTTGAGCTAAGATCCAACTGTTCGATTTGTGTTTCATCTAAAACTTGCGATGATTTTCCAAAACTGCTAAAGGAGTTGTAACTAAAATCTAGATCAAGAAACTTGTATATAGACTCGGGGACTGGACCATCAAATTTGTTATGATCAAGGTATAATACCATGTCAGATGGTAAAGAAGACATATTACCAAACTCTATCGGTCCTGTGAATTGGTTTTTCCCAAGAAAAACTTTCATTAACGAAGGAATAGTGAACAAAGATGTAGGAAAAGGCCCAAAGAATGAATTTTCACGCACATCAAAATATCCTAATTCTTGGAACCCGCTCATGTCACGTGGAAGCATGGATTTGAAGTAATTATTATTGAGGTAGACTTCAGAAAGTTTCGTTAAATTGGCAAATGAAGAAGGAATATTGCCACTGAAGCTGTTATGGCCAAGGCCCAAGTAGTATAGTTGAGTTAGGTTTCCTAATGAAGCTAGAACTTTACCTACTAATTGATTATACGAGAGCTCAAGCCACTCGAGACGAGAAAGCTTTTCTATTGAAGCTGGAACTTGACCTACTAATCTATTATTTGAAAGGGTAAGGAATGTAAGATGAGAAAGGTGTCCTAATGACTCTGGAACTTGGCCTGATAAAGCATTATACGAAAAGTCAAGAATTGTGAGACGAGAAAGGTTTCCTAATGTAGAAGGAATCTCTCCATAGAGACTGCAATTGTAGAGGGACAACTTAGTAAGAGTTTGGAGTTTGAAAAGACTGCTATTTGGTTTCAAAGAGCTGTTAAGAGAGATGGAAGGAAGTTCAAGAGAAATGACCTCTCCAGATTTGGCATCACACGTGACCTCCACCCAAGAACAACAGTCAGTGCTCTTGTTCCATGAGCTTAAAGATGTATCATTAGCACTTGGATTATGCTGAAGAATCGGAAACTCATCTTTGAATTCCAAAAGAGCATCTCTCTGGTCGTGGCGGCAATGGTTGAGTGTGGGAGAAGCAAGAGTGTAGAGTAGGAATGAAATCAAGCAGAAGAAATAACAATGGCTTCCAACCATCATATCTTTCTTTTTTAAGTATGTGTGTAGAGTAATAATTGGTTATGTAATGTTTCTGTGGGCTTCTGTCTTTTAAATAGAAGAAACTCATTGATTTGTGCAGCTCTTGACTTGGCAAATCTCTTGAGTCAACTTTTGGGTTGGGTTGATTTGTCAACTCTTCCTTATCCTTTTTATCGTCAATGATTTGTGCCTCTATTCTTCGCTTTTAATGCTAAAGTTACTTTGAGTTCATACAAGCTTTTAGTGCAAAGTCAAGGAACCCAACTAATAAAGAGTCTTAATTTTCCATGGATTGGACATGCTTTTTAATGGAACTTGACTTTAACAAAATCTAAAGGTTTTTTCTTGCTTTCTCTCCGTAGAAAACTTTTCTAAAAATAACCATAACTTATAAAAATCCTACGAATTAATGTTTCACTCTTCATGACTTTTTTTTAACTCTTCATGACTTTCCCAATTTAATTTAACTGTAAACACAAAACCTAATCACCTTCCCAAATTCTTTAAAATAAAAGCCGTGAGAGGTAGGATTAATGAAAACCTTGTATCAACTGAAATTTCATCATAAATTGAAATTGAAATAGCAGACCTTTTTGAATAGTAATCGTTGTTTTTTTTTTTGTGATTGATTGTATGTTCCAGGACAAGTCTAATTCCTCAAGCTTTGTCAAATTTCCTAATGATGGTGGGATATTGCTTGTGAATGTGTTACCCGACAAGTGGAGAATACGCAATTCCTTCAACAAAAACCAATAGATTCATGAATATTTCCAAGAAACAAGTTTTGGAAACTCAATGGATAGATTAATGTTTCTATGGCTTCTGTCTTTTAAATAGAAGAAAACTCATTATTGTATTGATCTCTTGACTTAGCAAGTCTTGCGTCAACTCGTGGGTTCGATTGATTTGTCAACTCTTTCCTATCCTCGGTATCGTCAATGTTTTGTGCCTCGATCTCTTCTTCGGTTTTAAATGCTAAAGTTACTTTTGAGTTCATACAAGAAGCTTTTAGTGCAAACTCAAATAAAGTCTTACTTTTTAATGGAACTTTGGCCCCAAATTGGTTTTTTTTTTCTTGCTTTCTAAATTGAAAACTTTTCCAGAACTTAATCAAACATGTAAGAAAGTTTTAACCCTTTATGACTTTCCCAATTTAATTTTACATCAGCTTTACCATTTACGAAAATATATTTAAAATTTCAAACCGGATAACCAAATCAAACCGAAATTATCGAAATTACCCGATTTTAACCGAATTTCAACACAAAAATTGGATATTTCGGTTAAATTCGGTAGATTTTTTTTTTAATTACAGGATAACCAAACTGAGCTGAACTGTAATCTGCTTCCGATAAATTCGGTGGGACTTTCAATAAACCGGATTACTTTTAGAAAAACTGAACCGTATGGTTCGTTCCACGGCCTAGTACGAATCCTCTTAATCGCCCAAAATCTCCGCTTCCCAGTTCCCACCCTTAAATCGTTTCTTCGAGAAAGTTATGCATAACTGTTGGGCTTTGGGCCCATAAAATTAGCTCATTTTGGGCTAACTCTGTATCATCTTCTTGCATCTCTTGGACTTTGGAATTATATAACACAGCCATTTTTCTTCTTCACTCACCTCGGCGAAGCCAGTCTTTTGGATTCTTCTGGAAATTTTCAAATGCAGACATTTTCTCTCTCCATCATCCGCCACTCTTCTCCCTTCTTCCTCCGTCGCACGGGGATTTATCACGGCGGATGCGGATTTCGAGCTGGAATCAGAATCCGCCGGAGCTTTGATCTTCTCTCAGTCTCAGCGAGACGAGATAATCCTGATGTATCTAGAAAACCCCAACCGAGTAAGAATATGCTCAGAGCGAAGCATATTGGTAAAGACTACTCCTCCTTAGCTCCGGTTCTCTCGCCGGACCACAGACCTTCCCTCTCGGAGTCTCAGGCCATAGGTACCGTCGCCACCGCTCAAGCGAACTTTATGCGCGTCGTTGTCCAGGATGTAGCTGGTTCTGAGAAGAATGATGATGGAGAAGATCTTTCTTCTAAGACCGGCGTTGAGCTGCTTTGCGTGGTGAGAGCTGTGCTGAAGAAGATACGGAGGAGAGTTCTGGTTGGAGATAAGGTTCTCGTCGGATCTATCGATTGGGTTGATCGGAGAGGAATGATTGAGAATGTGTTTCACCGGCGCTCGGAGATTCTCGATCCACCGGTGGCGAATGTTGATCACTTGCTTGTTCTTTTCTCTCTTGATCAACCGAAGCTGGAGCCATTCACGCTCACTAGGTTCTTGGTGGAAGCTGAATCCACTGGGATTCCACTCACACTTGCCTTGAATAAATCTGAACTCATCTCTGAAGAGGTAAAGAGTAAGAAATTGCATAGCTCGTTACTAATTTAGATACTCCATTTCAGGGCTTGATCAGAACGTTGATTTTGTTTCCAGGAATTAGAATCTTGGAAAATAAGACTTCGTAGATGGAACTATGAACCATTGTTTTGCAGTGTGGGGACTAAAGACGGACTTGATGCGATTGCATTCATCCTGAGAAACCAGACTTCTGTGATTGTTGGACCTAGTGGTGTTGGAAAGTCGAGCTTGATCAACATATTGAGAAGTAACTCTGGTAGTGCGATGGAAGAAGAAAACTGGTTTGAGCCTGTAAGGTTTCTTGCGCAGTTCTCATTCTACAGCTATAAAACTTTTGTTTACCATATCCTCCATGGCTTTTGACCTTTTTGTCATATTCAGATATTAGGTAATAAGGGGTTTGAAGATCAGCGAGTTGGGGAAGTTTCTACTAGGAGTGGTAGAGGTAAACACACAACCAGAAATGTATCGCTACTGCCAGTTTCTGAAGGTGGTTACCTCGCGGATACTCCTGGCTTTAACCAGCCTAGTTTGCTGAAAGTAACAAAGCAATCACTCGCTCTGTGTTTTCCAGAGGTTTTGTAACCTTTCTCTTTGTGCCCATTTCACCATCATTTTCCATATCTAAAGAAAGAGTTGTACACTTTGGCTTGTGCCCATTTCGCATAATGGACTGATGGTGACGATGCATGTTTCTTTTAACTGTTTTCTTAGATACGGAAACTGATTGAGGAAGAACAATGTGGATTCAAAGATTGCTTGCATATTGGGGAACCAGGATGTGTTGTGAAAGGTGACTGGGAAAGGTATCCTTACTACTTACAATTGCTTGATGAGATAAGAATCAGGGAGGAGTTTCAACTCAGGACTTTTGGAACCAAAAGGGAAAGTGATGTTAGGTAATTGTTGATTTCTCCTGAAACAACAGGCTTTAGTTTCAGATTGGTGACACAGCCCAAATATGGACTAATCAGGAAATCATTGACACAGGTATAAAGTGGGAGGCATGGGCGTGAAACAAGCTGAGCCACGGCTACAGCCTAAGAAGCATAGGAGAGAGTCGAGGAAGAAGGTGAAACAAACAATGATCTCTGAGCTAGACGAGTTCGAAGATGAAGACAGCGACTTGGACATAGATGACGATCCAATTGTCCGAGCAATTGAGAATGAGAAAAATACATGATGAGAGAGTTTCTACGGAGACAACGTCGTCTAGTATTTACTACGGTGAATTCTGTATAAAAAACGTAGGAGATACGAGTAAATGAGAGCCTTTTGGAAAAAACAGGTTAGATGAGAAGTGAAAAAAAACACTTTTGCATGAACTGCATCTTAACACTTTTGTCGAACTGAATTTTTGTATACATGATTTTACGTTTTCTGAAGACTTCTCCGACTACATTTTATTTTCTAATTTTTTCAGTACTGTAAATAATCCTAAAATGTGACATATTTTGTTAATAACCTACGTCTCACTAAGCAGTAGGCTAATAACATAGAAGGCAGATATAAATTAGCAGAATTATTAAGCAAGAATAAATACTACCAACCATGGCGAATGATTTCATGACAGCAACATTGAACAATAATCCAAGAAAATCTATCCATTGTCTTGCAAAGATCGAAAGAAAGGGGAGCAAAATCTCTTCCAAGAACACAAAAAGAGAGATGAAAAATTAAAGAAAACTTAAGCTGCTGATTTCTTTGACTTGGCTGCCAACTGGGTCTCCGGCTACAATCATCACAAAGAATACAAAATCAGAATCATTGTCACTATCGCAAATTACAAGTTCACAACTAAGATTAAATTTTTTTACCTCTTTCTTAACAGGCTCTTCTTTCTCTGACAAAATCAACTCAATGTGGCAAGGGTTGGACATGTAAGCTGAAAACAAGAAAGACCTGTAAGTCACACAAGAGAAACCAAAAAAAGGGAGACCATGTATGCAAGTCTGTAGCGAAATCTCAAACTCACGGTTGATTCTTCCGTGAGCACGGTAAGTCCTTCTCCTTTGTTTCGCAGCCTGGTTCACTTGGATGTGTGATATGAAGAGGGCATCAACATCTAAACCTTTCACCTGAAAAACAAAAAGTAAATCATGTTAACAGCAAAAAAGGGTAGAGACTAAAGACGATTCAATATACTGATTAGAAGAACAATTGTATCACCTCAGCATTGCTCTCAGCATTCTTGAGCAAATCAAGAACGAACTGAGCAGATTTTGCAGGCCAACGTCCTTGACCATTAGAGTGCCTGTTCTTAGCTTGAGCAGTTCTTCCTACACCTCTACAGAAACGAGTGAAGGGAATTGCTTGCTTGTGAGCTATCACATCTTCAAGGTACCTCTTCGCCTTGATCAATGGTAGCTTCCTGATGGCGTGCGCTGTTTCACGGGTGTTCTATAAGCAAAAAAGAAAACAAGGACACTATGAGAACCAATTCACACTGAAAAAGAAACAAAACACCGATTTGAAATCAAAACTAGAAATGTGGCATCATTTACTGAACCATGAAGTCACTTAAAATATACATAGGTTCACCCAAGAATAATGCCCATTTTTCCTTGACATATACGAGAGCTTTCTTCACAAAAAGGCAACAAAGCACTGCTTTTTCTAATCAGATTACATATTAACTAATCAACAAATTACGTAAATTAGACTACTATCAATGTACCATCATGTACTGAATCTTTTAGTTATAAGAAAATGAACACAGATTCACCCAATCACGATGACCAATTCAATATCCCTGAAGTTTACGTGAGATCTGTAAATTGCAACAGAACTCTGCTTTTTCTCAATCAGGTTTTTTCTTTCAAAAACAGAAACGACGAAACTACCATTTCCCTAATTCATAAACCTAGCTACATCGGAACCAAAAAGAGAAAAAGAGAATGTTTTCACGAGCTATACCTTGAAGTGAACCCTAAGATCGGATCCTCTAGCCTTGCAAGCTGCAAGATCAAACGAAGATTCACAAAAAAAAAATTAGCAAAATTACAGAGAATCGAATACAAAAGAGTGAAAATGGTACTGAGAAAGTGTTTCAAGGAAGATTACACTTGGTCTGATTGTCGGGTTCTTGCGAATACTTCACCTGCGAAAATAGCAAAACGCAGCATAAGAAAATCAGAAGGAGGGCGATTTTAGGTCAAATCTGCGACATGAGAGCGATGATGATGTGAGAGAAGCTTAAGCAATTACCATGGCGGCTAAAGACAAGAATTGGCTGCAGAAGCGATGAGAGATGAGTAATGAAGAGACTTTATATAGCATGAAACGGCATAAACCCTTATAATAGCGAAAACCTAGTTTGGTCTATCAAACTGGGCCTGGTAATAAACTCTTGGGCTTTCTCAAAGAGGCCCTCGAGACTTTAAGAATTGGGCTATTCAAAAATCTTGACAAATTGACTATTTTCTGTATAATGATTACTTCTCTAAACTCCCTTTTAAGTATTTTTTAAAGACAAAAAAACAAAGATATTATTTAGCTTATGGATGTATTATTGTTATTATTTATATTATTATGTACTGTTTTATTTATTAATCTATTATAGTAAATGCGAAGTGAATTAGGCTGTGGTTCAATGCACAGTTTTTGATGTCGTTTTGATTAATGAAAATCAAAGGTTCTGATTGGTGAGCTCAGCTTATAATTTGATTGGTTGATTTTATTTAATTATATATATATTTTTCTAATTGAATCTGCAGAAAAACGACCCAAACCCATGTTTTTGTTGAGTGTGGTAAATTACGTTTATGCCATTAATGAAAATAATATCTTCTGATTGGTCTATTTTATTTAATTAATACTTTAATAAATCTATAACAAAAAAGAAATATTTTATAATTAAAACTCAATCAATTGTAGATTAGAGCCTATGTTTGGAAAGAAATGGCTCAATCACTATTTTTTGGTCCATAATATTATACTAGGTGGGAACCCGTGCCAAGCGCGGGCTTGCGATGTATACAAAGTTATTACAAAATTTATAGAGGCGATTATTGATAAGTAGGAGATTTGTAAGTTATATATAATCTTTGAAATGATATGTTTTAATATTCTATTGTTCTAACAGTACTAATTATTATGAATCATTTATTTAATTTTTTTTATAATGGTGAAATACTTCGATATTGGATAATGGTATTGTGATATATATCTTTAATAAACCCAAAAATTTTGATAGTTGGATAATGGTACTTTTGGAAAAACTCATCATTTTATCAACCATGACCATTATCATTATATGCATTAAGATTTGTTGATGTACAATATTCAAATATTGCAGATCTTTAAGTTGTAGTTTGTCTCAGTGTGTATTTTTTTTAAACACCATTATGGTTTTGTACTTGATTTTCTTTATGTTTAATAAAAGTATCAATTCTCGACAATCAAGAAAACCATTAATAGAAAAAGAGAAAGAGTATCAATTCTGAAGCATAAGTAAACCAAATTGTCATTAAAATAGACCATTTAATTAGTAAAAATCTAAACCAAAACAAATAAAATAAACTATTATTTTTTTATATTCTGAAAGACGGTCTTGTATACAACGTTCAAAGTATTGGTTTGTGGCTTATCTATAGTATCCGTTATCAGAAATTTTCAAACCAGCTCTCAAAGTAAAATGTGATATAGCCACATCAAGTTGTCCATAGAAAAATGCGGGTTTTGGTAAATACAATCCAATCTTTTGCAAAGTTTGTCCTTGGTTTTTATGGATAGTCATTACAAAGGCGATGACTACAGGGAATTGTCTATGCCTCATTCTAAAAGGGACCTTGTCTCGGTGGGGGAGAAACAAACATTCGTGGGATCAAGACTTTTTGACCAATATATGCACCAGTTATGTGGCTAGTTTGAATAACATGTTTAGGCAATTGTGTTACAAAGAGTCTTGTTCCATTGCATAAACCACATTTAGGGTCTATATTCTGAAGCAACATAATAGATGTTTATATTTTTAATTTTAGTTCATGGTTCGGCAATTCTGAGATCTTAATACTATTAAGATATTCTTCTATGTAGATTTTTTCATCAATATTGCCCTAAACTCTAAACCTCTTGCACGGGCATAAGGGTTTCAAAAACGTACAACGTAACTTGCTGTTATAAACTGACGATTGAAGAGAACTAAAACAATTATTTAAAACATAAATGATAAAATAAAACAAACCCAAAAGTAAACATCATCCAAAATTAAAAACCAAAATGCTACTAAATAAGTGTATGAAACTCACAAACCAATTGAACTAAGACAAAAAAGAGTTTTTTTGTCTCAACATATTTGTTTTTCATCTTCATATTTTTTCCTCTTATTTATATGTTGGTTTTTCTTCTATATCGTCTTTTTCTTATCTTTATTTATCGTTTTCCAGCTTTATCTCT